GAGGCGCGCAGGCTCTACAGGTCGCGGTAGCTGGTCTGGGCCTGCTCGGGGCCCGCGTCCCGCTCGGCGTCCGGCTCCGCTTCCGGCTCTGGCTGCTCAGACCCCACACTGCCGCCGCCGCGCTCCGCGGGAGACTCGGGGCTGGCTTCTCCCGCCTCATCAGCCTCTAGCCTGCAAGCCAGGCCTTGTCAGAGCCCGCCCTGCTGGGCCCTCTCCCGCAGCCAGACTAGCTCCAGGGCAGGGCTGGGGGCCAGGCCGGCCCTAAAGACCATGCTACAAGAGATCACCCTTGCAGGGAGTCTGGGTAGATCCTGAGTCCTGGCCTCCTTGCAACCCTGCACCTGCTGGGCCTGGGCGGGAAGAGCTCGGCCCCTCCCCTAGGCGGGCTGCCTCACCACCCTCCCTGCAATGAGGAGTACACACCGAAGTCGAGGGTTATGCAGCCCAACCAGAAAAGGGACTGGTGTCTGGTCCCCACCCCTTGCTGTGGGCCCCTGGCCTCAGCTGCCATGGGGGTGGCAGTTTCTTGAAAGGGAGTGTCCAGGCCTTAGGAACCTGGGCAAATGGGAGGGCTGGGGGCCACCATGGGAGGTGACGGCAGAGTAGACACGTGGCCCTGCCTGGGGTGCAGTCCTGTCCTGAGGGTCTCTGCACACCCCCTCCCTTACCCGGTCTCTCCCTGCTTCCCTCCTCCGGTCCAAGCTGGACAGCAGGTGTCCACGGGGCTGGCCGAGCACGCCCTGGGCTGCCTGGGGGGGATGGAGCATGGAAGGGCCCAGGGGTCCACCCCTAGCACCTCCATCTACTGAAAAATACCTGCCGAGAGTGGGGGGCGGGCTGGTGGGGCTGGCCAGGAAGGGGCGGGGGGATGGGAAGGCCACAGCGTCGCCGGCGCCCGCGATGTACTGGATAAGGTCGGTGTTGGGGGCGGCACCGCCCTCCTGCTCCATGCTCTCGCTAGCTGCCCGCTGCCGCTGGAAGTGGTGCCGCTTGGGGGAGCCTGTGCAGGGGAGACCGTCAGCAGCGCGCCCCCTAGCAGCTCACCCACCGTGTCCGTGTGCCCCGGCCAGGGCCAGGGTGTGGACAGCAGGTTCGGGCAGACGTGAAGAGCCTCAGGTATGCCTCAGCCAGACACAGCGGACAGCCGGTGCCCCTGCCCAGGGAAGGCTCTGGTGCCCGTGCAGCAAGTCCCTTGGAACCTGCTGGCCTGCACCTGCCCTCCTGACATGGCAGCCAGATGGACCTTCCCTGCATGCCCCCCCCCCACAACTGGGTCCACCCGGGGCCCCACACCAGA